TGGGCTAGATTGTGGTTGTTTAATGTGTTTGTATATTTGATTGTTGTTTATTTGATTTGATTTCATTTGGCTTTAGTTTTGCTTATAATAGAAAGTTTTACTTAATAGGCATGTCTTTGTAAAATAAAAAGTTCTCTTGCAGAGAGGTGTAAACAAAAAATAAAATTCTAAGACCCCTTAACCATCTGAATGGACCTCTCCTCTCAGTCAGGGTGTTTCAAAGTTAACCTGAAAAACTGGTTCAGGCCATGCTGGGAAGGGAGGGTTAGACATGCCTCATTATGTCCTCCTCCCTTTTGGAATTCAGGAAAAGCTGACCAGCATTTAACATCAACACAGACCTTAAGTCTAATAAAAACCATTTACAATCTGTTCTCTCTGAAGCCTGCTACCTGGAGGCTTCATCTGCATGATAAAATTTTGGTCTCCACAGTCCCTTATCATAATCCAAACATTTCTTTCTATTGATAATAACTTTTTTAACCAATTGACAATCAGAAAATTTTTATATCTACCTATAACCAGGAAGCCCCCACTTTGAGCTGTCCTGCCTTTCTGGACCAGAACAATGTATGCTGACATGTATTTGATTGATGTCTCCTGTCTCCTTAAAATGTATAAAACTAGGCTGTGTCCCAGCCACCTTGGGCACATGTTGTCAGGATCTCCTGAGAGCTGTGTCATAGGCCATTGGTTACTCAAATTTGCCTTAGAATAAATCTCTTCAAGTATTTTACAGAGTTTGACTCTTTTTGTCAACAGAGGCTTTGGTATTCCTATTTTCCATTTTATGTAAACTCTTTATGTAAACTCCCATATACTCCTCTTGTGTTTTAAAAGATGGGGAGAAAAATCCACACAGTGACCCCTCTCTTCCCAAGTTGTCACGCTGAGTGCTGCTTGGCAGTGTTGAACAAGAATACACCAAGTTTCATTTACTTGCGTGCAATGAACTGATGCTTAGGCACTAGTGCTGTAGGCAGAATCAGTGTGCCACTGGGTCAAGGTGATTTTCAGTCTCAAGTTTCCTTTCTTCTCTCTTTTTTTTTTTTGGAAAAAGAGTCTCACTCTGTTGCCCAGGCTGGAGTTCAGTGGCATGACCTTGGCTTACTGCAACCTCTACCTTTTGGGTTCAAGTGATTCTCATGCCTCAGCCTCCCAAGTAGCTGGGGCTATAGGTGTGCACCACCATACCTGGATAATTTTTTGTATTTTTAGTAGAGATAGGGTTTCACCATGTTAGCCAGGCTGCCTTTCTTCTTTCTTGCATATGAACATCAGAACACTCCATTGTCCCTTAAATTTAGAACAAGATGATTTACATTACATCAAATTGCATAGCAGTTAAAAGCTGGCCATTAAAAAAATAGAATTGTGTGGCTATCAGGAAACTAACATTTGTGGAGTGTATGAGTTTTCTACGGCTGCTATAACAAAGTGTTACAGACTGGGCCGCTTAAACAACAGGAATTTATTTTCTCACAGTTCTGGAGTTTTGAAGTCCAAAACCAAGGTGACAACAGGGTTGAGCAGGGTTGGCTCCTTCTGAGAGCTGTGGAGGAAGGATGTGTTCCAGGCTTTTCTCCTTGGCTTGTGGATGGCCACCTTCTTCCTGTGTCTTCACGTTACCTTCCCCTATATGTGTCCAAATTTCCTCTTCAGATAAGAACCACAGTCTTATTGAATTAGGACCCACCCTAATGACCTCACTTTAAATTTACTACCTCCATAAAGATCCTTTTTCCAAATACAGTTACATTCTGAGGTACCAGGGGTTAGGACTTCAACATGTGGATTTGTACAGAGGACACAATTCAGCCCATAACATGGAATGTCTCCAGGGTCCCAGGAAGATTCTGGGTACTTTCATAAACATTAATTTATTTGACCTTCACAAAATTGCCACACTAGAGGGACATTGTGATCCCATTTCACAGATGAGAAAAACAGACTAAGGGCAATGACTTACCTCGTACAATGTCACTAGCTAAAAAGTAGCAAAAGCAGGATTTGAACCTAAATTTGTATGATCCATTCTACCAAGCTGCTTCTACGTGTTTTCCTTCTCAATTATTTTCTTCCTTTGTAAATGTAATGTTTGGAATCAAAATAAAGTCCAGGAAAGTTTGGCTCTATGCTTTTGGCTAGGAAGACTGATTTCTATAAATATGTTTGGCCTCCTATTTAGTGGCCAGGGCTTTTGCTCCTGGATGCCTATGCTTTTTCTCTGCATTTTTCAACCTTCTCTAGCAGATCTCAGGACTCAATAGGAAGCGTTGCTGGCAGATCCAGACAAGGTGTTAACATCTGCTCTAACACCGTCATCTAATAAATGGGTCATCTGGTCAGTGGAGAGTTTGGATTGGTTTGACCTGCTCATTACTGGGAAATCTTGAATATCTCTCAAATGGTGAAACTCCTTTAAGTGGGAGGTTACATCATAAAGGGCAGAGGCTTTTCTTTGTTTGGGTTTGAGCCAAAAAATGGACAACTAAGGAGAGAACATCTATGGGTAGACAAGATACAACCTAATGTGAAGCTTGCTAAGACAGTGGGAGGAGATTAATGATGAAGATGTTCCTATCTCCTAAGAGCTGTTGAAACCCTCCAGTTGTGAATGTAATCAGGATAGTACCAGGCTCAAGACAGATAGAGCACTCTTCACTGCCAACCAACTAAGTGTAGTAAATGAAACCAGTAAGTGAGATCGGAAAAATGCTCAGCCACATCCATAAATAGCCTGTGGTTGACTTAAATATTTAGAAATACATGCTCTTTCCCAAGAAATAAAAAATGGCACTTTTCCTAGTAACATAGTGCATATGATATGATATTATAATACTATGACTCTAATTCTGGCTGTACCACTTAGTGCCAGTGTGTGCTGGGCACATTAATCTCATTGAGCATCAATTTCTTCATCTGTCAAACCAGCATGAAGGCAACTATGAAGGTCAAATGAGATTGTATTTGGGAGCCTTGCAAACTATAGAATGGTATGCATGTGTTAGCTATTTTTATTGTTATTTTATTTTTAGCCCAAGTCTAACAGAACCCATAATTATGCTGAATTATCCAGTTTGAGTATCCAATTTATGGATTATCCAGGCCTCCTGTTTTCCTTCCCCTTTTTAGTTCTTGTATGCTTTTTAGTCCTTTGAAAATGCCTTAGGAATAATGAAATAGAAAATAGAGAGAATATGCAGTTAGGAATTTTCACTTTTTAAATTTTATTTTGGATATTAACAGATACTAAATGGGGAGAAAGTCGAAAATAGCCCAGTTAACGAAGAGCTTGCTGTATATACTAAAGTGGCCTGTCACATTTTAAAGGAGCAAAGCCCTTCCAAGGAAATTACCTGTCATCTGGTTTCAAAACAGTCCTGGCAGACTCCCGGTAGATGCTGACACTTTTAATTTTTCCTGAGTGCTGTTAAAATTGTAGGACTTTTGGAACCATATTCCCATATCACCTTGATGAGCCAAGTGATTGAATAGAACATGTGATAAGGATCTTTCCTCGATGATAAAGCACCATGGAAAATCCTCAGTCAGCAACTTGTAAAGTGATTGCAGATCAAGTCTCTGAGTTTTCCTTGTCCAAGCATCTGTAAGACGTTCCCTTGGAATAGGAAGGTCTCTTCATATTTGCAAATAAAATATCGTGTCCATCTTCCCAGTTCTCCCGTAGATAGTACATTACCTCTTCATTCACTGAAAACGATTGCTGCTTATTCTATATTTAGAAAGAATTGCTAATGGTGTTTCTCCTTTTCTGGGGATAGGGCAGTAAGAATCCAAATGGGGACGGGATTCATCTAGTAGGGTACGTCATGGAAGCAAAGTAACTTAGCCATGGCTGAGTCCCTGGGGGATAACTTTTATTGATAATTGGTTACTTAAGAATTGAAGTTCTTAGGCTTCAGTAAGCCTTACTTTCATGGTTTTCCAAATTCCTAACCTAGCTAGTGGAAGATGGCTAGTTTGGAGAAGGATCTATGAAATAATAGGGTGCTGTGTTCCAATTTGATATGACTCAGTCAACTGGTGGCCATCTACTGTCAGTACTCTCTGAGGAAATCTGTTAATTTCAGTCATATATCAGGATTTTAACTAAAACTCAGCATCTAATGAACCAGAGTGAACTAATTTGGTATGCCAGCATCTCTCTACTGTGCACTCTCCTTAATGATTGCCTGAATATGATCAGGTTGATGCCAGCAGAACTATTATTCTGACAAATGCTAATCAGAGATAGGATTCTGATTGATTTTAAATTCAAATTCACTGTGCACTATTAACTTTTCTAACATTGTATGCTTTTTTGATGGCCTCATTTGCATGATTTTTAAAATATGCATTTCTGGCTAAGAATTTATTATCTGAGTGTTCTTTCATTTAATACAAGTTTTTTGAGGAGTTCTTTTTTTCAAGGGCATGAAAAGATTATCAATTGATTTGCAGCAGAAATATGCTGTGGTTGAATTCCATATGACCTAACTAATAATTATCTGTCACCAGGGTAATAAAGCATAAAAGTTAGGACCACTGGAGTCAATATGCCTGGGTTCAAATTCTACCATCTCCACACCACATGGAGTGTATGTAAGTGGAGTGTACATATGGAGTGGAGAAGTTATTACTCCATAGCTTTATTCTCATCCTTTGATGGAGATAACAATAGCGTTTATCTGGTAGGGTTTTGGAGAAGGTTTCATTAGAACGGCTCTTGTACCGGCCAGCTTTTGCTAAGTTATATGGCCATAAAAATGGATCTAAAATATGAATAGCTTACACTTACAGAGGTTTGTTTCTCATTCATATTTATGTTCATCATGGATTTTTAAATCCTGTCCACAAAAGTAAATTATAGTTTGGGATTCTGCTAAACTGTAGCTATTACCCTCTGCTAGGGCAGAAAAGATTAATATTTATGTGTTTGTCACATGGTCCTCTTAAGAATAAATTAAAGTGATGAATGCTTCTTTTAATCTTTCCAGGGAAGGTGGTCTATGGCGAACCCATAGCGGCCAGTCTTGGCACAGATGGCACACACTACTGGAATAAAGAATGGCACCATGCCGCCCACCATGTCATGGGTCCACCTTTGCGACCAGACCCCTCAACACCCGACTTCCTCATGAATCTACTGGCTAAGTAATCATTTTGCAGATGACTGGGAAGTGTATTGCCAAAAGAAGGTTTGGGTGGAGGGGAGCTCGTCCTCCCATCTGGACCTTCCATTAACCTCCCAGTATTCTCTTCTACTTGACCTGACAGGCCCTGGGTACCCTCACCTGCAGAACAAAAAACATCGACTTAGTTATGCTATGATATGTTGCTAAAGCCTTTCCTAGACTCACAGAAATCAGATCACTTTCACTGAAACTTTACTCTTTTCTGACTTTTTTCATCTCTTGTTGCCTAAACCCAGGGCTCTTCATTACGCTTTACTTTTTATCAGAATATTGTTGAATTTTTTTCTATGCTGATATAATCTGGGAACTAGGTTGTTGTGTAGGTGACCCTGTTACTTTCTGGGAAGGTATGATCATTTTTCTTGAAAATTCTACTATTCTTGGGCCAGATGCAGTGGCTCATGCCTGTAATCCCAGCACTTTGGGAGGCTGAAGTGGGCGGATCACATGAGGCCAGGAGTTTGAGATCAGCCTGGTGAACATGGCAAATCCCCATCTCTACTAAAAATACAAAAATTGGCCAGGCATGGTGGCTCATGACTGTAATCCCAGTTACTTGGGAGGCTGAGGCATGAGAATCACTTGAACCCAGGAGGCAGAGGTTGCAGTGAGCAGAGATAGCGCCATTGCACTCCAACCTGGGTGACACAGCAAGACTCTGTCTCAAAAAAAAAGAAAAAAAGAAAAAGAAAAGAAAAAAGAAAATTCTACCATTCATGGACATCCCGACACTCCCCATTCACAGATACTCAGTCTCAAGCTAAGAGTTTTTCATGACAGACCTTACAAGAGTTTACTTACCTGTTCTTTACAGCTTCCTTCCTCCTTCATGATTCAACATCCGCAAGATTACTCACGAGTCAAAGCAGTATTCCTGTCCCTGGTAATATCAGCATCCTCAGCCAATCTCACCCTCTGTTCATTCCAGTGGGCCGTGTGGCTCAGGACTGCCCCGGAGGACCTGCCCTCCATTCATGAGGATCACCATGGTGATGTCTTTGTGGAGTATTCTGCTCACAAGAGGTTTTCTCTTACATATTTGCTGGTGATTCTGAAGTTATCTTCATCAAGTACATATAACTATTCATTTCTAGATGAGAAACAGAGTCTCGGACAAGCTCATATCACAGAGCTAGTAAGTGACGGAGCTGAGCTTAGAAGCCAGGTTTCCTAACCTGTCTTGCACCACGCTTCCTATCAGTGTGTCGTCTGAAGGTGCTTCCTAGAATAGAGACAGGAGACGGATGAAATATGTTCTTGAAAAAAATGTTCATTCTCCATTGCATTTTTCTGACTTCAATTGAGAAGGGAGCCAGGAGATTAGTAAAGGTTATGGCAGTTTCCTCCTAATGTGTTCTGTATACTCACCCCATCACTCTTGTGTTTTTTTCTTTTACAGTGATGATCTAACCACAACAGGGACTGATAACTGCACTTTTAACACCTGCCAGAAAGCTCTTGGGAAGGATGATTTTACCAAAATCCCCAACGGGGTGAATGGTGTTGAAGATCGGATGTCAGTAATATGGGAAAAAGGCGTGGTGGGTTCAAACGTTCCAGCCTTGCTTTGCCTACTTCTTCAGCCAGGATCCTGCCCATTTGAGGACCAGAGTGGCACAAATTTTCATAAACAAACTTTTTGATTGTTTTTACTAGGGAGGATACGAGGAATGCAGTACTATCACCTCTGCCACCATTCCATCCCTCAGTATAGCATCAGCAAAGAAATAATCTCTGCATAGTTTATTTTAGTTTAGAGGATGCATCGCACCATTTGGCAGAGACATTAGGAGATGAATTAAGATTGCATACAAAGAGGGTTATTCTTGAATTCTCTGAAAAGGCATAGCCCTTCTGCTTGATTTCTCATGCTCTTGAATTCCAATGCCTCATGTGTCATTGGCACAAATACTTGAAATGATAAAAAATACACAAAGGGGTTGGGTGTGGTGGCTCACACTTTTAATCCCAGCACTTTGGTAGGCCAAGGCGGGTGGATCACTTGAGGTCAGGAGTTCAAGACCAACCTGCTAACACGGTGAAACCCTGTCTCTACTAAAAATACGAAAGTTAGCCGGGCATGGTGGCACGAGCCTGTAATCGCAGCTACTCAGGAGGCTGAGACAGGAGAATCGCTTGAATTCGTGAGGCAGAGGTTGCGGTGAGTCAAGATGGCACCATTGCACTTCAACCTGGGGCAACAGAGTGAGACTCCATCACACACACACACACGAAAATACACGAAAGGTATTCATTATGCTTATACCTCCTTGTCATGAAATCTTTGTCGATGTCAGTTGTTTTGTTTTGTTTTTTTTTTTTTGACGGAGTCTCACTCTGTTGCCAGGCTGGAGTGCAGTGGTGTATTCTCAGCTCACTGTAACCTCTGACTCCCAGGTTCAAGTGATTCTCCTGCCTCAGCCTCCCAAGTAGCTGGGATTACAGATGTGCACCACCATGACCAGCAAATTTTTGTATTTTTAATAGAGAGGGGGTTTCACCATGTTGGCCAGGCTGGTTTCAAATTCCTGACCTCAAGTGATCCACCCGCCTCGGCCTCCCAAAGTGTTGGGATTGACAGGCGTGAGCCACCATGCCCAGCCTGATGTCACTTCTTAAAGGACCCTTGGATATCATATTTTTAAATTGCTGTATGAAGTCACAAAAGTAATAATTTAAAGTCTGGAAACAAAATGTAAATGCTCATGACTAGAAAATTTCTCCCTAAGGATGGAGAAGAATCACATAACTAAATGTCTGTGTGTTAACTTGTCCAGCCAGTTGACATGTGGAGCTGTGAAGACCAGCAGAGGGGACTTGCCTGGTTAGATTTCTGGTCCCCAGTGTCATGCCCTTCTCACCCATCTCCTAGGATGCCTCCCTTGAATGACACATTAATTACATCTCACACTTCAGAATCCTCTTCAATTGCCTTTACCCTACACATACCACCTACTTCTAACTCTAATGAATTATTCACCAAGTCTTGTCAATTTTATTTCCAAAGTGTCTCCTTATTTCTTTCTTCATTGCTGCCATTCTAGTTGGAGGCTCATATTTTGTTTGGACCTTTGCAGTAATCTCACAGCTGGTCCCCATCTCTAGGGTCTCACTTGCTACAATGTATTCTTTACTCCAGTACAAGAACTCTTGTTCTGTACTGAGAACAGCTGACAATGCTTTTATTATTATTTTTACAGTATTATAGAGGGAGGATAGGTTTCGAATGGGAGTTCTCATTCAAAAATAAAGTTCTGTTTGTGCTATTGTTCTCTTAAAAACCCTTTACTTGTCTCCATTACTTAGTGGATGATAGTTGAATCATTAACTTACAATTAGATCTTCAAAGCATCTCTATAGCCCCATCTTCTGCTGATTATTTTCCTTACCCCCTCTTCCTCCACCCCAACTCTAACCATCCCCGACGACTTCTCTTCACTCAGATTTTCTTGATAACAGTTCAACCTTCCACTTGAACTTCTGTTATTACAATGAATATCTTTATTATAGCAGGTTTTCATCATCCATATAGTTCCCTGGTATATAAATGGCTTTACAGTGACTGAATAGTTCTTCATAATATATAGGAAACCATGTCATTTTATGAAACATTAGTATGGTTTACTTATGGAAATATTACTTTCAGGGCATGGTTCTTAGTGATTTTTAAGGCAAGCACTCTTTGGTAATTAAATAAACCTTAACTACCCTCTTACCATGTAAATAGGGATAAACTCCTAACACTTTTAAATTTTATTTTAGAGGAGCCACATCCCTCTGAATTCTGTCCATATTAAAATCTCTTGCAATAGACTATCCATAATTGTTGGTTCGTGCAAAACTTCAATTGCATAAAATTGAACCTCTTGAGTTGATTTTTTTATCTTTTCAAAACGATTGCATCTGGGTGTGGTGGCTTATGCCTGTAATCCTAACACTTTGGGGAGGCTAAGGCAGGTGGGTTGCCTCGGCCTCCTGAAGTGTTAGGATTACAGTTCCAGATCAGCCTGGGCAACATGGTGAAACCCTATCTCTACAAAAAATTAGCCAGGCATGGTGAGGCATACCATACCATGTAGTCCCAGCTATTAGGTTGGTGCAAAAGTAATTGCAGTTTTTGCCATTAAAAGTGATGGCAAAACTGTGATTACTTTTGCACCAACCTAATGCTTGGGAGGCAGAAGGGGGAGGATCACCTAAGCCAAGGGAGGTTAAAGCTGCAGTGAGCCATGATCACGCCACTGCATTCCAGCCTGGGCAACAGAGTGAGACCATGTCTCAAAACAAAAAATGAAAAAAAAAGGATTGTCACCTGATTCAGAAGTGTTGGCCCCTATCCTCACTCTATAATATTCTTTAAAAAATAATAAAAGCATTGCCAACTGATTTAAAAATGTTGTCAGCCAGGTGCAGTGGCTCACGCCTGTAATCCCAACACTTTGGGAGGCCAAGGAGGGTGGATCACCTGTGGTCAGGAGTTGGAGACCAGCCTGGCCAACATGGTGAAACCCATCTCTACTAAATACAAAAAATTAGCCATGTGTGGTGGCGCATGCCTGTAATCCCAGCTACTTGGGAGGCTGAGGCAGGAGAATCACTTGAACCTGGGAGATGGAGGTTGCAGTGAGCCAAGATCGCACCATTGCACTCCAGCCTGGGCAATGACAGTGAAATTCTGTCTCCAAAAAAAAAAAAAAAAAAAAAAAAATTATCACCTATTCTCACTCTATATTATTCTATCTAATGTCTACATGATTATCTCATAAATCTTAGGTCTGTAATAAATAAGCCAGATCATAAATGTGGTATTGTCAAACTTTAAATGAGAATCGAAAATACCATTACCAAAATCTAGCTGTCACTTATACCAATTTTTGTGATTCTAGGATGAATGGGAAGAATTAGTGTGGATGCTAATTAATGGGGTTTTTGAAAAGTCATCTTCAGGCTTCCATATGTTACCCCATCGTCTCCATCATTAGCATTATGACTGTTTAATACTTATCAGCATCCTCAGATGCTCCATGATATAAGAAATTAGGTGTAGTTCTGTTTGTTTAAGAGATGCATGTCTTGTCATTTTATTGATAGGATACTTTTTAGTATTTGATCATTAGAATGATTCTTTGAATTGCTTTACAGCACAGTGGTAAAATGGATGAAAACAGATTTGTGGCAGTTACCAGCACAAATGCAGCCAAAATCTTTAACCTCTATCCAAGAAAAGGAAGAATAGCTGTAGGATCAGATGCTGACATTGTTATTTGGGACCCAAAAGCCACAAGGTAAGTCTAAGTTCTTGTATTCCTTGGCTTCATCGTGGAGAAAATGCACTAACTTGCAAAGAAATAATGCTTTGGCATTAATCGGCCATTTCTCCTTAGATGACTTCTTTAGCTGTGCTCAGGTACTTTGAGCCTGTACACAAGATAAAGGTTTTGATGTGCAAATATTCCTTTGTTTTTCTTGGCATAGAGGATGCAGAAATTGTGTTGCATTCTCTGACAATGGATCTGTATATAAAACCAATATGAATTTACCATTTCAGTGCCTGGCAAATGCCCGAGTTCACATGGAAGAAAGGTACAGAGTGACGAAGGAAATAAAAGGCTTAGTTTGAAAAGGGTTGAATTGAAAACTCAAAATAATTACAGCCTTTTTAAAGCTTTCAGATAGAAAAATTCCAGCACAAAGGATGTCACTTTCAGTTAGCCAAATTTTCCAGTTGAGTTCATCTTCAGCCTGTCATTCCTAGTAGATTCCAGCTTTTTGTTTCCAATTTCCATAATTCTATGTTAATATTGCAGGTCTGGCAAATTCCACCAACTCAGGAAAGCAGTCAATAGAGGCTGGAGCTCTGTTATTGTCTCCTTATAGGACGTTAGCACAGGCAACACCTGCAGCCTAATTTGTGTTTTTCATGTACTTTGCAGTTGTAGTGGAGAAAATCCCATTAAATGCTTTAATAATCTGTATGTATGTGCGCTCGCATGGACTTCTGCCTCCTTGTACAGGCATTTATTCAAAGTCTATTAGGGTTTTTATTGTAGTAAGAAAAAAAAGTCTACAGTTTCTTGGGCTAATATTGTCACAAAGGCCCAGCTTCAATTGAAGTGCTCCTGGGTTACCTTTGGGAAAACAATGATCATTTGAAGCACTAAGGTACCATCACTGTAAGCCTGAAAACAAGCCGCAGATATTCCTACAGAAAATCCTCGTTTTTTTCCACTTGACACTCTCTGGGCACCCACTTTTCGCACTCAGGGACCAGTTCACATGGCTGGCAGGCCGTAGTCATAGCAAGCAAGCAGCCTTCAGTTAAACACTTCAGCATATCACCTCATCGCTGGTTAAGATCCATGCAATGCCCTAAAGGGTGGTATACACATCTTATTTACATAAATATCTTAAGATAACAACAAGACACGGTTCAAGGTCTTTCTTAGGTTAATAAGGAACTATTGCCCATTTAAGGACTAAATATCTGGTTGCATACAAAATAGTTACATGCAAAATGAAGACAAGCAAAACCAAATGTAGGCAGCTTCTCTACAAGGCTAGAAAAATTGTGCTTGGAAAGGCAATGGAAAAAAAAATTGCTTGGATTTTGATTGCTCTGTGGCTGAAATGAGCATGCTGTGTTTAGAGAACTCTTGATATTTAAAGTATCACTCTACAGAGGGCTGCTGTCCACCCAGCAGGGGCCTGCCCAGGGCCATCTTGGCTGTAATTCAAACCATTTAGGCTGCTTCAAGGGCTGGGCTCAGGCAGACCTTTTGAAATAACTTGTGGGTTAAGGAGATCGTGAGCTTTAATCTGAAAACCTAGAAATTTTCAAAAGGGAGAAAACTATTCTGTGAAAGAAATATTTGTGGAAAATGATGCTTTTGAAGCATAACATCAGGGAACATCATACTAATGTTAATCATCAGTAATAATCTGTATGTCACAGCTCTCAGTGGGTTTTTTAAATGTTTTGGTGTCTTAAATGTGATTTTACCAGGAGAGACAGCTACTGATGACCTTATGACAATGAGAAAACTGGAGCTGTGCAACAGCGTAAGTGACAGGTTTGCTATGAGAACCCTGACCTAGTGACTTCGACTTCATAAACTTGGGTGATTTTTCATGAGATTCAGTACCATGTTGTCTGCTGATAGCAAAGCAGAGCACTTTATAATGTTCTTGATTTTTCATATTCCATTTTGTCTTCCAATCAGGTGGGCCAATAACTAAAAGCATTTTTGGATTTGATTTCATTCTCTGTCATTCTTTATCAAAGGTGAGGGAAAAAATGAAAACACTTTATTGTGTGGTGAGACTCTCCAGTCTAATTCTTAATAATATGGAGAATCTCAGGAGGCCATTCGATGCGCTTCTTCTTTTGAATCCTCCACCTGAGTATCTCCAACAGGGCCCAGCCTGGCGAGCCCTCATCTGCCGTTTTAATTTCTAGGGATGACACCAGCTCAGGGGTAGAGCACTGTCTTCCCTAGACAACTGGACAAAGAGAGATGACCTGAACCCAAGGTTGTGAATAATTCACTTTATTTACCACATATCGCTGCCTGGAGGATATTTATAGGCTGCGATTATGTCTCTTTGAGTCATGTTTTTAGACTATATAAATTTAGACCGCTTTCTCACAAGTTTTGCTACTGATTTCTATAACATTGTCTTACCCTTCTTTTCCTATTCAGTTGTTTCAGAATAGCACATAATGATCCAGATGTGTAGATTTTTTTTTAAAGGTCTATATATATTACCTGCTTAACTTCCCTCATTTCTAGTCTAAGAATAACTAACTTAAGGTCAAACTAAAAAGCTCCTATGTTTTTACATTTCTTTCCATCGCTTTCTCTTGTAAGTTCTTTCACGTTTTTTGTATGATTTCCATCCTTCACTTTATGAAGGACATTATTTATCGCATTAATGATCAAATTTATTTATCACAATAATGATAACAAAATTAAATATTAACGTTTTTGTAGATGTGTCTTTTGGGAGAAAGATACATATTCTGCATTATCTTACTAGCATGAAGCTTCTTTATCTGTGTGTGCTGATTGTGTACACCTCGGTGCCAGACATAAGGAAAACCAGCATAGCCCCAGAGCCTAATGTGTAGGCTGTGATCCCAGACCCATCAAAGGCCATTTAAAGTCTCTGAAAATCCACTCTCTCATGTGTAAAATGGGATCATTGAGAATTGTTATGCCTACCTCATAAAGTTTTGGTTAGAATCACATGAGATACATGTGAAAATGCTTTGTCAACTAAGAACGTGTTACACAAAGACAAGATATGTATTATTATGGTTATTTTCTATTTCTCTAGTTTGACTAGTTTCATTCTTTGCAGGACATTTTCATTTTTAGGTGTTCTCAGCTATTTTGCCTGTGGTGATCGGAAGGCAGATGAACCATGGGGTTCTATTTCTCTGACTCCAGATCCTTTTAAAAAGCTGGTGACCTTTTTGTTTTTCTTTTCTTGTTTTATTGTTTTTTTGAAAAGCGGAAAAATCTCAGGGTATATTGAATTGATTGAGCCTCCTTTGGATTTCTTTGACATATTTGACTTATTCTATATCTTGCTTCTTTAATCCTTTAATTTAACATTTTCCTCTAAACCATCATCAGAATAGTTTTGCACTATCATCATTCATTTTTTTCAATTGCAGAATGTGGGAAAAAGGAGAGAAGGGGGCTGTTGAAGAGGAGGCTTCATAGAATAATGAATCTGGAAGAATTCAAGGAGAAAACACGTTTGTTGTCGTTCACATTAAGGGAGAGAGATTGTTTCAGAAACTGTATGCTGAGCCCTTATCTGGGTCAATCATAGCACCAGCTTTCTCTATTCTTGGCCTGGTTGTTATGAGAAAGTTGCTCATCTGGGCTGGCTGTTCCCGACCAAAATTTATGCTGATGACCTCAACTAGGACCTTTCTGAAGTGCAATAATATTTTTAGACTTTTCTAACTGTCCATGAATCATCCATAGCTTTCCACTGTCCTTAGACACTACCCCTACCATCGTCACCGTCTGCCTCTTCTCACCTTGCAGCCTGAGTTCTACTGATTCCCGCAAACCCACTTACAATCCTGTACCACAATCTGTCTTCCTTTTCTTTCTCATTAATATTCTTGAGGTCTAGTTCCATTTTTTAAAATAAATGTTTTATTTTAGAATATTTTAGATTTACAGAAAAGTTGCAAAGATAGTACAAGACAGTTCCTATGTACCCCATACTGGTTGCCACTATTATTATCTTACATTAGTATGGTACACTTGTCACAATTAATGAACCAAAACTGATATGTTATTATTAACTAGAATCCATACTTTATCATATTTCCTTAGTTTTTGCCTTTTTCCCCTTCCAGGATCCAATATTGCATTTAGTGGTCATGTGTCCTTAGGCTCCCCTGACTTGTGACAATTTCTCTGACTTTGTTTTTGATGACCTTGACAGTTTTGAGGAATATCGATCAGGTATTTTGTAGAATGGCCTCTGTTGTAATTTTCCTGATGTTTTTCTCATTATAAGCCTCTGGTTGTGGGTTTGGGGGAGGAAGATCACAGAAGTAAAGAACCATTGTCATCACATCGTATCAAAAGACATACTGTGAACACGACTTACCACTACTGGTGTTTACCTGGATGAACTGGCAGAGGTGGTATTTTCCAGGTTTCTCCACCATACAGCTGTTTCCCCCACCCCTTTCCATGTTGTATTTTCTGGAAGGAAGTTACCATGTACAGTCCATACTTAAGGAGTGAGGAGTTATGCTCTCGATTTTTGTTTTAATTGATCCTATATGACGTAGGCCTAGCTTGGTTCAGCATAGAGAAGAAGCACAATAAATGTTGAACAGGTGAATGAGAAGGATGCAGTCTTCCACACTGCATGGAAGATTGGCAGGACTAAGAAATAGCATAAATGAAAACTAGAAAGATTTTATTCAGCACCGGCTATGGTGAGAGGAAAAGTAAGAATAGCATCTTCCCATTTCATGCTTTTTACTTACTGCATGTGATCAATACATGACTGTGTTGAAAGAATGAATAGATAAAGATGAATTTAAGTAGAAAAGATTTATTACCAAGGAGAGGAGGAAGAACTGTCTCACTGGTCTTATTTTCTTTAAGTGCCCCTTCATATTTTAGGTTGGTAGCAATTAGTTTGTTAAGCAGAGCTCTTAGAAGAAATGAAGTCAAAAGAGTTACCTTTGTGTGCTCCTTCATTCACAAATTCCCTCTGCACAGGAGCACCTCGGCAAGCTGCAGGCTGAGGGTCAAGCTTATACAACAGCCACGCCCTGCTTTTAAGAAGCTGACAGTCTAGGAGAGGAGAGGAGATGTAAAGTCAAATATTCTCAGCCTAAGAAGGGATGGGTTAAGAATATCACACGAGAGGCAGAAACAAGATGCCTTAGAAGTTCAAAGAAGAAAGATCCTTGTGGAGTTAGAGCAGTCATCGACATGAAATCGTACGAAAAAGGTGAGTAGATAACGTGGCTCTGTGACTCAAGACTAAACATGGAGGTGAGATAAACCAAGGCATTGATAGGGGGTTCCAGGGGAAGCAGTTAAGGCTGGGGATTGCACCACAGAGAGAACAGGTTCAGGCTGTAGAAGGAAATGAGAAGGTGAAGAGGTTGTGGCTGTCTCCACTTTCAGTTGTGTTTATCACAGACAAAGGCAATTTTAAATAGAGTTCACCTTGTAGATAAGTGTTATTTAATCAAATGAATAAATGAATATATCTATAGGGTTTTTTTTTTTCTTCTTGTAATAAAGGCCTCCCTTTTAAATTTTACCTGCCTGATTTTAACATTAAATGCAGGCTGGTAATGTGCAGGCTTTTTGTCTCACCACAGCATTAGATATTGGCCCAAATTTTCCTACAAAATTTCCTCAAACGGTTTTAGCAAAAATAACTGCCCAGCCGACTCGTTAGTATCTAACAGGAAAGCAACATGCATTGTACCCTAGATGCTGAAGGGGGCGCCCACAGCCCACACTGAGCTCGGCTGGCTCCAACCAGGCCATTCGAGCTGCTGGTTATGCAAGAACAAGCCAGCCCCTGGAGAACGAATGCATTTGCTAATGATTTTTGGCTTCATGGTACACAGATGTTTTCGTTTTTAAAATTCTTGTTACTTATTAATGGCATGTAGACGTAAGTGTGCTTGCCACACAATCTGTAGCCTTAAAAATGGACCACGTTAGAGTTACCAGGGGAGACCAGTGGAAAGAAAAGCAGGGCAGCCATGCTTATTTTTTCCTTTTAAATCTGTAAAAAGCGAGATGATTCCAAGGTGAGGAATTTGACATATGGTGATGGATGGCAGGAGAGAATTGGGAGTGGGCGTAGTAGGGAAGGTTTGGACATCCTGATGAAAGATTACCTAAGACGTCACTAGCCTGTAAAAAGTTCCTGCAAAAATCAACTGCAATAGCTCTTCTGTGTCATTGCACAATAAAGAACAAACTGCATTTAGTGTAAAGGGAGCATTCACCTTTTTCGGAAATAAAAGAGCCTGCTGTATTCAGCTTGACGGCTCATTGAGCTGGTGTCTATTGCTTATGATGGAAGTATGTGTCCTACTGCTTCACTACTTGGGTCAAAGCTTCAAATTTAAGGACGTTTTCAGTTTCTGAATGTTTGACACATTTCTGTAGAAGATCTTGATACCTGGAGTCAGGGGAAGAAATCAGGAACATGCTTTTCATGTGATGTTAAAACAGAATCTTGTGGTGTCATGTGGTCAAGACGGAGATCAGGCAAATTGGCCAACTTGTTAAAAATCTTATTAGAGAGAGCGGCATGTCAGTTACTTGCAAGCCCATAGCTGCAGCAGTAACTCATGTTCTGGCAATTTAAAACTATCCTCGGAGCTTCAGTTCTTTGGTATTCATTAAATAGCACTTAGTTACTATGGTAACTGTCCCTTTTCAGTATTTATGAGCTACAGGGTATCTCACAGAATCTCAAGCACACAAACACACAGCTAACACATTGTGTGTACTGGAACATTTAATGAAGACTTCTAGCTGGACCGTATTCTGCAGAGCAGACATGTTTTCATTTATTATTTTTTAACTCAATTATGGCAGGCTTTGACCTTGAATACACCATTCTTGAAGGCATTGTGCCATCTTTCCTGCTTAATTTCCTTCCCTTTCTCATTGAAGATGGAGATAAATGAATTTAACTTTATATTCAGTGAAGAGTAATGGCTTGCAGCTTATGATGGTGCCCTTCTGGATTCTAGAGGGGGCCTTTTGTGTGAAATAAAGCGGGGGAAGAATAACTGTCATCCTTGGGTGGTAGGGATTGTAGGGCGTGGGGAGGGAGAAGAAAGGAGGAATCAGGTACCCTTTGGCAAAGAGTGATGGTTATGGCTTATTAGGATAGCTACATCACCAGTAACTGTCTCACAGAAGCTATGAGGCATTTTCCCTTGAAGTTGCACATTGTGTATCCTCTGACTCATTTGTGCATTATAATCCTCCTCCTCTTCCTCAAAGAAAGCGTGCGCACACACACACTCACATGCACGTCAGCACAGCAGCCTGGGTTCCTGCTTATAACAGTTGATCAGCCTGAAGATGCTGCTTTTCACGCCTGTTTCTGAAAGTGTCTGTCACTAATGCGCCTGCCACTCCCCACACCCACACGCATCCCAGTGTGCATTGTGTGGGTCTTGTCCTGGGTGCATAAGTGGAAATGAATATGATTTATGCCATGATTTGTCACTGTGATGTCTTATAACACAACGTCAGGGCTGCAACATGGTGTCAGGACTGCTGCCTAATGTGGTTCAGGTTGTGCTTTTGCACAGTTACAGGGGCACTCTTCACATCATCGTTACCACGGATATATGTGTATAGTTAGATAGCTAGATATAGATACAGGTAGTAACTATGCCAGTTTTCTAGCATATGATAGCAAAGCACCTTGAGGAACAAATGTCTTTTGCTAATCCACACAAAATCAAACCTGCCATCTGGGCTATTGGGGGAGCGGTACCATAGAGTGAAGAGAAAGGCTTTGGTGTTAAAGTCCTAGTCTGCCACTTATGAGCTGGGTATGACTTTGGGTATGTCATTTAATTTTTCTGAATTTCAATTTTTTTGTTTGTAAAATGGACATGATAATGCTATTTATTTCCTAGCTTTGTTGTGAGCTTTAAGGTCGTGTCATAAGATGCTTGGTGCATAGTCAGTGTTCAGTAGCACTTGGCATGTAGTAGGTGGTCAGTGGTAATAGATAATAGTAGTAGGTGGTCAGTTTGTGGAATGAGTGGGAGCTCTTATTAGCTATAGCTGTGAGTCAGAAATCTTTGTATAATGACTTAATTCAGACAGGACCAAAAGATATTAGAATTATATTTCATATAAAAACTCCGTCTCCCAGGTTTCTTGCACACCTTTAATTTTCACCACTAAGTTTCAGAATGACTAAAATTAAGAAGCTTAGATGGATTGTTTTGGTTAAGAGAGCCTAAGCCTCCAGAACTGACACCTTTTAAAAATTA